TGTGTAAAAATACTTATATGATGTGCATATATACTTATATGATGTGCAAATATTCTTATATGATGTGCAAATGTACTTATATGATGTGCAAACATTCGTATATGATGTGCAAACATTCTTATATGATGTGCAAATATCCTTATATGATGTTCAAATATCCTTATATGATGTGCAAATATACTTATATGATGTGCAAATGTACTTATATGATGTGCAAAGATCCTTATATGATGTGCAAATATACTTATATGATGTGCAAATATACTTATATGATGTGCAAATATACTTATATGATGTGCAAATATACTTATATGATGTGCAAATATCCTTATATGATGTGCAAATATCCTTATATGATGTGCAAATATACTTATATGATGTGCAAATATCCTTATATATGATGTGCAAATATCCTTATATGATGTGCACTTGTCATTATATGATGTGCAAACACCTTTATATGATGTGCAAATATCCTTATATGATGTGCAAATATCCTTATATGATGTTCAAACATCATTATATGATGTGCAAACATCATTATATGCTGTACAAGCATACTTATATGATGTGCATATATACTTATATGATGTGCAAATATTCTTATATGATGTGCAAATGTACTTATATGATGTGCAAACATTCTAATATGATGTGCAAACATTCTTATATGATGTGCAAATATCCTTATATGATGTGTAAATTTACTTATATGATGTGCAAATGTACTTATATGATGTGCAAATATCCTTATATGATGTGCAAATATACTTATATGATGTGCAAATATCCTTATATGATGTGCAAATATCCTTATATGATGTGCATTTTCCCTTATATTAAACGCAAACATCTTTATATGAAGTGGTTGTGTCATTATATTATGTGCTTGTAATCTTACATGATGTGGTTCGGTTTTCTTCACTATATGATGTCGAAACGTCATTATATGATGTCCTTTCATCGTCGTTATTGTCAATGAACATGATTACGATTAGAATGATTACTGTATACGTCATAACTGATTCCGATCTGATTCTGCGGAGTAACTATACACCCGGCTCAAATCTGTAGCTAGCGCTAGCGAAAGCGCAATTTAAAGGAAAAATGAGACAATGCAATTTAACAAAAATCAACGTTTCAAACATTTCGGAGGAAGATTAAGATCAATTAGTACAGGAGCTAGTTGAAGAAATTTCCGGCTGCGGCGAAAATATGATAAAACAAATTTTGGGGCTCTTTATAGCTTGCTATTCGGTTTGAGCAAAGGCTCCGTGTTGAAAGTCGTACTCTAACCTATAATTGTTTACTTTTTACAAACTGTGACTTGGATGGAGAGTTGTCTCATTGGCACTCATACCACATCTTCTTATTTCTATTCATTGCAAAAGACACCGTCAGTTTTAAAAGTATTTCATAACAATAGCTATAAAATTATCTACTCATACATAATATGGCGAGATGGTTCGTTTTATAAAGTTTTATTGAATAATATAAATGGTAAGATGTATAATGTAATATTGAATATGTACAGTGATATTAAATCTAGAATATCATATAATGATTGTAATTCGGAATACCTTGCTTGTCACAATGGTCTACGACAAGGAGAAAACTAATCACCGTTAATATTTTCTTTACTTTTTTCGATCTTTTTGACAAAATAATCAAGCCCATTCTGCTGTATGGGTGCTAAGTATGGGGTTTTAGTAATAATGATATATTTGAAAAGATACATTTAAAATTCTGTAAATTACTTTTAAATCTGAAATCCTCAAGACCAAGTTATATGGTTTACGGGGAACTAGGTCGCCATCCGGTCGACATAGATATAAAAGTTCGAGCAGTATTATTTTGGGCAAATTTGATATCCGGAAAACAAGCAAAGTTTTAGTTTATATTATATTAACTTTCTCGCCATATGAACGGTCATCATAACATGCAGACTACATGGATTCTGTTTGTCAAAAAAAATATTTCAAAATTGTGATTTCTCATATATATATTGCAAACACAAAATTTCATTAATAAAGATTGGTTAAAAACTGTTATAAAGCAAAGATTGTTAGACCAGTTTCTTCAGAATTGGAATTCGCTAATCCAAAATTCGTCAAAAGCTATTAACTACAATTTAAAAGAAAAACCGGGAATTTGAGAAATACTTTAATATTCTGAACTTTAAAGATTCCGTTGTTCTCTGTCGATTTCGAACGACTAATAACAAATTGCCGATTGAAACAGGAAAGTTGCAAAACGTATTTAGAGAAAATAATCGACAAATTGGAGACGAATATCGCTATATATTTGAATGTACTTTTTTCGATCAAAAACGTAAAAAGTATTTATCATCCTATTTTGTACAACGACATAAAACAGCTAAATTCTCTGAACTTATGTCGAGTACTCGAAAACCAGTCCTGAAGAAGCTATGTTCATTTATAAAAAAAATATAAACACGTGTGTTTGTCCTCCTGGCTTGTGACTTTTGTAACCTCTCTCCCTTGTTTTGTATATATTGTAAATAGTTATTGTTGTTATCTCTGTACTGATGTCATGCATTGGCTTTATGAGAATAAAGATATAGATATAGAATCCATAATTATACCGGTATGGATGATTGATTGATTAATTTGTTGATTGATTGTTGTTTAACGCTAATTTCAACACTATCATGCTATTTCGTGGCGGTGAGTTTATATTGGTAGAGGAAGCCGAAGTGCCCGGAGAGAACCACCGACCTTCGGTAGGTAAACTGGCAATTTTAGTCAATTAAGATGGGAGTCGAGCTTACCTGCTACGTGCGGGATTCGAACTCACAACCTAAGTGTTGACAGGCAAGTGATACAGTAGTTCGATTACTTAGACCACTCAGCCACCGAGCCGCCCCCTCCCCCGAAATGGAATAAAGGATATATGGAATGAACTCGGTGCATTAAATTTGCGTGCAGCTTTTTATTATGTTTTCGTGCATATATTTCACAGCTTCAACTAGATGATTATGAATTGCTTGACGTCCAGCTGCAAATTGATATGCATATTCGTACGAGAACATATTAATGTGATATGAATATTAACCCTGCTTTGTACTAGACCGACACCCTGAGCCGGATTTTTAACATGCTAGTTCACAAGGTAACAGTACGAAGGAAGACATGTCACCTTACCCGGACACATTATTCTGATTCCGAGCCGACCAGCCTTTACTCTTATACTCCTTAATTTCGCGTGCTTAGCAGGGAAGCAGCAAATATCAATTTTAAAGTCTTTGGTTTTGATCCGGCCAGAGTTCGAACCCGCGACCTCCCGCACTCGAGGCGAACATGCTACCACGAAAGCACCGCCACTAGACAGTAACCCGCTATATAAAATGTTTCGTGGGAAGCCGCTCATATATACACCTCCAGACTCAAGTAAACAGGACTAACGTACCAACCATTTTTTCTTGGTGAGTGGGGGGCATGTTTTTTTGTTAATGTTTGATTCCAAATTACTTGAAAGATATTTATCTATTTCAGAAGGGAAGCAAAATAGTTTGTTTCCATTTAAAATGAGGGAAAAAATAAAACAATAATGAAGTTAAAAAAAAAATAACCATGTTATTTTTTATTAAAGTCGAAAAATTTGTTTGTCTTGAGCACAAGGCAATACACGTGCTCCTGCCCACATTAGATGAAGAATCGGTGCTTAACCAATCTGATTTAGATACAAATGTACAGATCATCTGTCTAAGCTTTGGTTACAAGGATCTGAAAACACTTCATTTTACTTTCTGTTCTGGTAAATATTACATCAGCCAATGAAATTTCAGCCTCCATATTTTTGAAGGTGTGGATCAATCCGACAAATCCAGAGAATCCCAATGGTCTTTAAAACAGAAAATAGAATGGAGCGTTTTCAAATCGGCATAAGCAAAGCTTGAACACACAATATCTGTAATTTAATCAGATTGGTGTCTAAATAAACATAAAAAAACTGCATTTATTTATTGTTTACTGAGACCTGTTGGTCTCTTACAGATAGAGAGTTGTGTTTTAAATTTTTCTAAGTGAAGATTTACGTCAGCGGCTTTTAATATTTTGCGTTTATCCTTGAAACTTCAATAGATAAAAAAAAAAAACAAATAGTGCAATGTGTCTGAATATACTCTATAGTTAAGGTCCCATTTGGGGAATTTTGGCTCTTAAAAGAGTTTTGTTGTTTTATTGACTATTATCTTTATAACTTATTTATAGAGATACCTTTCCTTGCAAAATGGTATAGACAAGAACAGATATAAAAATAAATAAATTATAATTATGGTCATTTTCTTTCAATGGGGATGGGGACGTGGGAGGAAACATTGGAATTTCTCTTATTTTTTTCAAGTCTACACCTTGAAGAAGGAAAAACAATCAAGACCCCCCTTTACAAAGACATTAGTGAGGTGACTATAACATTATTCATGCTCGAACAAATCTTCCCTCAACACTTAATTTTTTAAATACCAAAAATATAAGAGAACAAGAAAATGTAACCAAAACGAGGATTCTGACTTTAGGACAGGCACTTATTATTTTGCGGGCTCAAAATATTTTTTATTAAATCGAAAACTCACTTTGTATAACAAAAATACCGAACTCCAAGGAACATTCAAAAGGGAAATTTTTTCACATGCTAACATGTGAATTTTTTTTTTAAATCTTATAAATCCAATAGATGTATGGTCTTAAAAAAGGTACTCTCTCTGAAATATAGCTAATGCTACTTTTCTAAAACACTATAAACTTTAGTATATAAAACATAATGTCCAATGTGGGGCTGATTTGGAAAAAGTTTAAAGTCAAAATATCTAGAAAAACTAAGCTATTTACGGAAAACGTAGTAAAAAGGCAACACTTGACTGCAAAATCGAAAGCAATAAATTAGTTCAAATCAACGTTGATAAATTTTTGTTGTACTGTAAACGTGTCACGTCCTTATCATTGTAACCTCTATCTGTTATGCTAAATTTATATCGTCTATTAACTTGTACAGAATATAATTCACCAAGAGCAGAGTAGCAGTAAAAATGTTTAAAGAATTGACTGTCATTTCCTTGGTTGTTGTATCAATACACGCGGTAAGTTTCAATTTAGTATTTAAAAGCATCGGGGACAGAACCCAGGACAGTAAAAAGTTTGGATGGGGCACAAGTCAAAAACAAAAAAGCAAAAAGCTACAAAAAGGCTAATTTTCTGTGCATTATTCATTAATTATATTGCTGAACTTCATTGGGCCTGGAGAGTGGAAGGAGGAGTCTGGTCCTTCTAAACTAGGCCGCCATTGAGGGAGCAAATGGAGCTGACTGCGGATATCTCGATAATTGATTGATTGATTGATTGATTGATTGATTGTTGCTTGCTTCACATTTAGCAATGTAATTGTATGTTTATTGTTATATTTTATAAATCTATGATTTGTTGATTTGTATGTATTGCTTTGGTCCGTATAGTCGTTATTAGCAAATAAAGTTTATTATTATATATGTGATTAACTTATTTGTAATATAATATTCGAAAAAAAAGATCATTTGAATCTCTTGTTTCATCTGGTAATTAATACACAAGGATAAACCTGTATGGGTAAGTGTATTAGGAGTATTTGCTAACAACTGAAAGTGCAGCAAAAAAAATAATTATTTTTGGCTAAAAAATCAAACGATTATTGATTAACATATGTATTTTCCAGAAGACAATGTGTAGACAAGATTCAGAATGTGCATCAGATGAATGTTGTTACTATCACGAAGGACCTATGATTGTCAGCAAGAGAGATGTGTTGCCATTTAATTCCATGCATCAAGGTAAATAACTACTTCAGCCATAAGCTGAGTCGGTAGAAAGAGAGATATGGAGCAACACAGGAGGAATATAGATTCGCCTTCCATCAGCTGATATTTCTTTACTCGATATCAATAAAACCAAATATTTATTTCATTTTAAAACTTGTTCAATAAATAAAAAAAAAGAACCGATTACAAATATGAATAAAAACATTAGCAAATAAAAGAAAAAAAGTTTTATCGTACAAGTAAACCAAGATGTGAGATACACACGAGACAGCAACCCAAGACTAGAACAATCACAAGACTTCTAAAGGTCTATACTAGCTACTATTTGAACAAGCTCTAAATCGTCCAGAGTTTATTATAGAAAAGTTGTGAATAAAATCAATTGTCTACCATTCTCACCCTAAAATTTATTTAGATATACTACGTAATTTGGTCTCTTGTGGAGAGTTGTCTCATTGTCTTCTTATTGTACAGACAACCACTGATTACTTGCATTTGGACAGGCATATAAACATGAGGAGATGTAATAGTATATTTTGTTTAGTTTTCAACTACCCCCCCCCCCCTTTAAATCTCGATCAGTGGATTAGAAAAGGTACATAAAAAAACTATAAATAAATAAGTACAGAAAAAACACTTAACTGTATAACAACGGTATAATATAAAGCTAACAAAACACGAAAACAATAATAAACATCACCGTTTTACAGAATGCTCAATGTTACTTGAAGCAAGTTCAAACTGCTTTGCCTGCTGATAAGAAGTCCTGTAGTCTTACATTGTAGTTTCGGCTGTAGTACTATATTGGGGCCTCAGGACTTCAGAAAGCAATGTCATAAAAATATAGGATCCTGAGCAATGCCAAGAGTGTCTCTGATCTGTATGACATTTTATTACTAGAAAACAAAAGACACATTGAATCTTATTTTAAACTATAAATAAGGGAATTGAAGTAAAACACGAAAATATAAGCTGCAATGTTTGAACAATAAAAGTTTAATTATCCAATACGAAATATAGACCAAAGAGTATTTTGAAACTTGTTTGCCCTATAAATGATATAATATCGAAAAGCTTTGTGTGAAATTATACTCTTTAATGATCGTATTTGATGGGAGGAAAAGGGGGAATGTTACGGAGGCACATATTTTGCTCGCGGATACCGGGATTGTATCACACTTTTACTAATGAATTCCTGCAGGTGGAACCATACTTCCTCAATAAATTTCAGTATAAAGTATAATATTTAGTAAAACTTGTTTTATCCAATTATGTGCTATACAAACCTGTTGTAAACAAACTATTAATAAAGACAAATCCTACTTTCATTGAAACCTTAGACGCCATTGAAACACTCGCGCAATTATCACAATTAAGAAAGGAATACTCCGAAAGAGGGAACAAAAGAAACATAACCTCATCATGCACAAGGAATCAAACATTTACAATGGAAAAAGAAAATTCGTCCGGTGGCTATACATTTTTGTCTGTACTTTACCATGAGAAATTCTAATATGAGATTTTTTTTTATTATTTCCATTTGTGTTCAAAGCAATGTAATTTAAATTGCAAACATCCTGCTCGACTTGACATTAAGTAAGCAATAATTAATCTACCAAAAACTATCTTCTACTTTCATATAAGAATTTTACCTCTGGATATAAAATATTCAAGATATATATTTTCTTTCAGGTGGTTGGTGTGAGAAATATCTCGCTCAAGGAGCACGGTGTAATCCTTTTTCCAAAGTGAACGGACACTGTAGCTGTGGAAGTGGTCTTAAATGTACACGTTTTCCATACACAACTACATCATCTGTCGTTAAAAGAGACCTTCTTCCCGGAGACTACCTCTGCGCACCAACTCCTTAAGCAGAAATACAAAGATACTAGTACTGTAATTGGTTATTTCATTTCGCTAATCTTTTACTTTTAACTTTTAAAAATATAGTAAAAGTTTCACAATTTTTCAACGCAACTGCAAAGACATAGAAGTTACTAGCTATAGGTCACCGTACGACGTCTTTCTGTGGAACATAATGGATGTACACCATTGACTATATTCACCAGCAGATAGAAGCACTGTAAAACTCAAAATATTTGTGTTGCAAAGACAATACCTTCAGCAAATTATCACATTTTTGGCACCACTTTGGTGTTTATGTATTTATTTCAAAATAATTAAAGTAGCTGGGGTGTCTTCCTCCATCTTGGATTTTGAAATTGCAGATAACAATCGGTCTAGATCTTTAATGAAATGTGTAAATTTCAAGAGAAGTGTGTAATTCATTTGTAAAAGAGGGACGAAAGATACCAGAGGGACAGTCAAACTCATAGATCGAAAACAAACTGACAACGCCATGGCCAAAAATAAAAAGACAAACAGACAAATACTAGTACAGATGACACAACATAGAAAACCAAAGACTAAGCAACACTTACCCCACCAAAAACTGAGGGTGATCTCAGGTGCTCCGGAAGGGTAAGCAGATCCTGCTCCACATGTGGCATCCGTCGTGTTGCTTATGTTATTACAAATCCGGTAAATAGTCTAATTCGGTAAGTCACATTCGTGAAAAGGGAGGATATTGTAGTTACGACATAAGGAACATATCCGATATCATCTGTGAAACGGTTATTCCATAACGGTCAACCAACTCGTGATGGCGTCCGTAAAATTTACGAAGGGATGATTTCAACTTCCTCATTTGGAACTCTTGGTTTAATAGCTTCCTTGTGAGCAGCAATCCTCTATCAATGAAATCATGATAGGAAACACAAGCCCGGGAATATCGTATCAATTGGGAGATATATACTCCGTATGCAGGTGCTGCTGGAATGTTGCTACATAGAAATGGAAAGTTCACAATTGGGAAGCTGAAATCATCTCTTTTGTCGTAAAGTTTTGTTTTCAACCGACCCTCATTGTCAATTTCTAGATGTAAGTCAAGATATGAGGCAGACTTAACTGTATCTGTAGTATCCTTTATCTCTAGTTCGATGGGATAAATTCGTTCAACATAGTCACCAAATTTTGTATTATTTAGTGAGAGAACATCATCCATATAGCGGAACGTAGAGTTAAAGGATATTGCTAACTTCTTATCTTTCTTCCTAAGAAGTTCCTGTATGTAGTCAGCCTCATAATAATAATGAAACAAGTCGGCAAGAAGAGGGGCACAATTGGTTCCCATTGGAATTCCGACAGTCTGTTGAAAAACACGTCCTCCAAACGTAACAAATATGTTGTCAACCAAGAAATCTAGCATCCTGATAATGTCAGTTTCAGAGAATTTTTTGTTTGTATCAGAGTGATTCTTTACAAAGTAGGATTTATCCCTTCCCAAGACAAGATACTTGTATCTACGTTCGCCATTCCTTTTAATGAAACAAAGTAATACCAACTCTTTCAATTTGTCTTTTAGTTTGGAATGGGGAATACTTGTGTAAAGTGTAGAAAAGTCAAATGTTTTAATACTATTGCAAGATGAGAGAGTCTTAGATTGTATGTACTCTTAAAGATCTTTGGAATTTTTTAGTATCCACATCTGATTCACGCCACCTCTAGAATAGGCAGTTCCACAATAACTTTGGAGCCCGGCTTTGATTGCTGATAAAATAGATGTTAATAATTTAGAAAGAGGTTTCGTGGAGCACTTGGAAGACCCAACAATATACCGTTGTTTGTAAGGACACTTATGTAGTTTAGGTATCCAATACAGTGATGGAATATCCAGTTCTTCATCTTTGGTTGAAATTCCAAAGGAACAGACTGTAAGACTTTTCATGTTAATATAGAAAATTATATGTTTTATCATATTTACGGTTGTATTTTACATAAAACAGAATATTTTTGTTTGGTTCATTTTTTTTCAACTTTGCCACATAAGGGGAGATAATTCAGATATACGGGGAAATAACTCAGATAAAGTTATTTTTATAATAGAATGTGTTGTGAATTAACCATTTTAATATGTAGGAAGAAAACGAGTTCGGTGACCCCGAAAGCATATTATTAGAGCTATCTTCTCATATTCTATTTTAAAATTCTATAGTGAAGTTTTCTTCATATCACACAAAACTGGGTTTTCCATGCATAATCTAATACAAAATCTGACAATTTTGCACAACCTGTAGCGTGAAAAAAAGCCCGGTAGCCCATACTTTTTACTAAATTTTAGAAAAAAGCATGATAACTACATTTTGACAAATTATTATTTTAATTTAGACCCCCATCTACCTTAATAGACAAGCTAATGTTATTACTAATATTTTACGTATGAGCACTAATTAAACAAGAGTTCATACAAAAAAAATATTAAAAATGAATTAAAAGAAACCAAAACATACAACGCAAACATTGACAGATATTAAAATAACCCTGTTCCTTCACCCTAAACAAAAGAAAGGGAAATTGAGCATAGGGTAATTTTAATGCAAATAAAAATTAGGAGATGTGGAATGATTTCCAAAGTGTGTACAGCACAGCATAAGAACAACCTAAAAAATACAGAGCCGACGTAGAGTTGTTGCAATGATTCTTTAATCTGCAAAAAGCGTGGCACTCGCCCTACACGAGGCATTGATTTAACATCCCTTATCCCGATCTTAAGTGGCTGCGTATTTGTACATCTCTCAAACGCGGCGTAACAGACGCCACACTAAAGCGAGGGTAATGCTGTCGAATGGGAGAAGTTCAGGAATTACTATATTTCAATACTTCAGTCAACCCGTGCGGTTGGATTTAAACAAAAAAAACCTCACCGTCCAAAGGCAAAGTAAAATTAACAACAGAGCACGAAAAATAGTCTCTTTCGGTGTAAATGTTAAAATGCAGTTTTCCTTGTAAAAAAGAAAAAAAATCTGTAATTGCTGTTCACATTTTCTTATTGTTTGTTCCTGGCGTTTTCTACAGTATGTATAAAAAACTCTTGATTAAACAAAATTAAATCATCAAGATAATTGAATTTAGACCTATGCTACATCTATCTTTAAATACCCAAATGTTGCAAAACATCTATCCTACGTCCATGACAAATATGTTGTTGTACCCGCAGATAAAGCCCCAAACAATATCGTTTTTGTGTGTAAATCACATTACATATACTGCTTGATAAATGAATTAGGCATTGACTATTCACTTGGAAACTCAACATACACCCCCACGACACTTACCAAGGAGGAAATCCTGGATAATCAAAGGTCTGTTCTATGTTCCTTTGGAAATTCAACCAAAGAACCGTATATTCCTTCACTGTATTGGATATCTAAACTACATAAGTGTCCTATTCTGGACGTGAATCAGATGTGGATACTTAAAATTCCAAAGATCTTTTAGAGTACATACAATCTAAGATTCTTTCAGTTTGCAATAGTACTAAAAAATTTGACTTTTCTTCCCTTTACACAAGTATTACCCATTCCAAAATGAAAGACAAATTGAAAGAGTTGGTCCTGCTTTGTTTCGTCAAATTGAAAGGCCTTCGTAGATACAAGTTTCTTTTCTTGGGGAGGGATAAATCATACTTTGTAAAAAATCACTCTGATTCAAACAAAAAATTCTCTGAAACTGACGTTTTCAAGATGCTTGATTTCTTGATTGACAAAATATTTATTACGTTTGGGGTACGTGTTTTTCAACAAACAATCGGCATTCCCATGGGAACCAGCTGTGCTCCTCTTCTTGCCGATTTGTTTCTGTATTCATATGAGGCTGACTTCATACAGGAACTCATTAGGAAGGAAGAAAAGTTAGCAGTATCCTTAACTTCACTTTCCGCTATATAGATGATGTTCTCTCACTAAATAATTCTAAATTTGGTGACAATGTTGAACGCATCTTTCCAGTCGAACTTCAGATAAAGGATACAACAGATACAGTTAAGTCTGCCTCATATCTAGATTTACATCAAGAAATTAACAATGATGATTGGTTGAAAACAAAACTTTACGACAAAAGAGATGATTTCAGCTTCCCAATTGTGAACTTTTCATTTCAATGTAGCAACATTCCAGCATCGCCTGCATACGAAGTATATATATCCCAGTTGATACGATATTCCAGGGCTATTATTTCCTATCATGATTTCCTTGATAGAGGGTTGATGCTCACAAGAAGCTTTAAAACCAAGAGTTCCAAGTGGTGAAGTTGTAATGATCCCTTCGTTAATTTTAAGGACCCCATCACGAGTTTGTTGACCGTTATGGAGTATCTGTTTCACAGATGACAACGGATTATGTTCCAATTGTCGTAACTACAATCCCGTCCCCTTTTCCCCGAATGTAACCTACCGAATTAGACTTATCACCGGGTTTGTATTAACATGAGCAACACGGCGGGTGCCACATGTGGAGAAGGACCTGCTTACCCTTCCGGAGAACCTGAGATCACCCCAGTTTTTAGCGGGGTTTGTGTTGCTCAGTCTTTGGTTTTCTATGTTGTGTTTTGTGTACTGTTAATTCTCTGTTTGCTTTTTTTTCTTTTTTAGCCATATCGTTGTCAGTTTATTTTCAACTTATGAGTTTGAATGTCCCTTTGGTATCCTTCGCCTCTTTTTTAATGAGTTTGGATATACTGTGTGATTCATAACAACACAGGAACAAGTCCGATATATAAGAGGCGCAGTTGTTGTCCATACTCTCAGATCTGTACTTGGTGTCTTTTTTGTTGAGGGGATGTATAAATACCCTTCCAAGTCAGGTCCGTGTTTTTTGCTACAAGTACAAAAAAGTCATGTATATGTTTTTCTGCTTTGTATTGATCTGATGAGTTCTGCTCTTTTCAGCTGATTTGTATAGTTTGTTCTTATGTTGTACTGTTACACCACTGTGCCAGGTAAGGGGGAAGGTTTGAAGCCAGCATACTAGTTTTACTCCGTCACAATCTGTATATGCGTGTCCCAAGTGAGCAGCCTGTAATTCAGTGGTTGTCGTTTGTTGTTGTATATCATATTTGTTTTTCGTTCATAAATCAGGCCGTTGTTTTTCTCGTTTGAATTTTATTTGTTTTTCATACAAATGAGAGGTTAAGCTAGCTTTAAAACCAGGTTTAATCTACCATTTTCTACATAAGGAAATGCCTGTACAATGTACCAAGTCAGGAATATGATAGTTGTTTTCTATTCGTATGAGGTGTTTGAGCTTTTGATTTTGCCATTTGATAAAGGACTTTCCCTTTTGAATTTTCCTTGGAGTTCGATTCGTATATTTGTTATTTTACTTTTCAATTGTTTTACATTTGTCATTTCGGGACCTTTTATAGTTGACTATGCGGTACTGTTTTTTTCGTTGTTGAAAGCAGTACGATGACCTATAGTTGTTAACTTTCATGTCATTTAATCTCCGGCTGAAAGTTGCCTCATTAGCATCTTCTTATTCTTATATTGGTAGGATTGTTTACAATCAAGTGTAGTTGACCATACTGTACCGCTATTTTTACTCGGTAATTTTTACTGGACTTTGACCATTGTTTTAGTAATGTGACAATGAAACCTTGTTTACGCAACGGTTTATATGAAGCTTTTATTATTGGTAGGATTGTTTGCCATCATATATAGTTGATCGTATCATAACTTTTTTTTGATCCGAGCATTTTTACTGGAGTTTCGGACTTTTTTTTTTGGAATATTGTGACTAGTATAACTCCTTGTGAACGCAACTGATCTGAGACCGTGTTACAGAAAACCTTGATACTTTGAAGTTGTGTTTGCCGTCATGTGTAGATAACCATATCATACCGTCATTTTGATCTTATAAAAGTAAGAACATGTGGTGATAACTCTCCACAAGAGACCAAATGACGTAAAAAGTTTACTTAAATCATCATTTTGACGGGAATTTTAGGACTTTGAGTTTTTTTTGGAGTATTGTTGTAACAACACATTGCAAACGCAACTCCTCTGATACCGTTTTTCAGAAACCTATTATATGTGGAAGAATTGGTTGCCATCTTGTGCAGCTGATAATATCAAAGGGTCTCTGGAAGGGGTTTACATAATTTACATATTATACCGTCACGTTGATCCGACAATATTCAGGGAGTTATCGAAATTTGACTGTCTTTTGGAGTATTACAATAGCGTCATTTGTAAACGCAACACCTCTGATATAAATAAGAAGATGTGGTATGAGTGAGACAACTCTCCATCCAAGTCACAATGTATAAAAAGTTCACAATTATAGGTCAAAGTACGGCCTTCAACAACGGAGCCTTGGCTCACAGCGAACAGCAAGCTATGAAGGGACCCAAAAAGACTAGTGTCAAACAATTCAAACAGGAAAACTTACGGTCTAATCTATATAAAAAAAAAAGAGAAACGAGAAACAACTATGAACTACACCAACAGACAATAACCACTAAACAACAGGCTCTGATACAGGCTCCTGACTTAGGACAGGTGCAAAACAAAGCAGCGGGTTCAAACGTTTTAACAGGTGCCAACCATTTGACAGAAAGCTCTCATGCTTGGTAGGATTGTTTGCCTTCATGTGTAGTTGATCATATTATACCGTTATTTTGATTTGACTATTTTTATGGGAGATATGGGACTTTTACCATATTATTTTAACTATCGTACCACGATGACATATTGGGCCGTACGATAACCTATAATTGCTCACTTCTATGTCATTTGGTCTCTGGTGGAAAATTGTCTCATTGGCAAGCATACCAAATTCTTCTTTTTTTCATATTATGCATGTTTACCATTATCAAAAATGCTTGCAACCCTCGTGTCATGTATGTATTGATAAATGAAACTTATTTCTAGGGTAACTGTGACGAAAAAAAAGTCCGCATCATTGTATCATAGAAATCGTTATCTTACTTATAATTAAGTGCCAATCTGCATAAGAATCAGGCAGTGGTGAAAACATGACAAACAAAAACCCGCTCAACTTTACATTAATTTAATTTCAGAATGTATAATGGACCATGAATATAACATTCGTTTCCTTTCCCTGTTCTGGTAATTCAAGATATAATTTGGTTGAAATGCTCTAGAAAATAACAATTAAGGGGAGATAACTCCGTAATTTGCTATCATTCTAACCCAAATTCATCTAGATATTTCTCGAATTACCAGACACGAAGAAACGAAAGACCTACCACTTCTAACTCAGGATGAGGGTACCTTCAAAATATGGTGGTCAGGTCGGTGGGTTTTTTTCGGCAATGTATTGATTTTTTTCTAAATTGCCTGATTCTTACAAAGACTGGCACTTAAAAAAGAAGTTTATATCCAGAAGCGTCTTTGAGTTTTGTGTTCACACACTTATGACAAATTAAATAATGCATAATTTTTTGCTCAGTTTCTGGTAGCGTTATATTAAAGCATATAGCTGTTTGTTTGTTTTGTATTGGTTTGTATTTGCTAAAAATAGATACAACTTGGCAAATTCAGGGGGAATACATTATATATTGAGAATTGAAATACGATGCATGATGCCTCATTTACCCGGATATAACTGAGATCTCTGTTATCTCTTATCGCCTTTTAACATTTCATTATTTTTTTCTTAGCAAAGTGGTCTTGTAACGTAACATTCGATCACGTGTCTGGGAGATGGAACAGATTTTCTTGCGCCGCTAGCATTATCAGAGCCGCCAGTACGAGGTTTTCCAATACGTTGGGATCAAAATAAAGTCATTAGTATCAATACTCTGATCGATAGACTTCAATAATTCTCTGACCAGCTCTGTCGTTTGATCTGGTGTTTCACCACTCCCTCCGTAAGGTATACCATTAATACGAAGTAGATCGCGACGACCGTTCTGTTCTAAAGCATCAATATCGTCACGTAAACTTTAGTTCTCCTTCGATCTATTTCGGATTTATGTTGTATTGTTGCTTTGACGGTATAATCTATCCTTTCATGTAAAATCCATAATAAAAGTTCTCTTAGTTGCAGAGCTATATTAATAATATCGGGCTCAAGGAGCAAGTAATAGTTTGTGATTGTATGTTAGGCTCTTGTACTTGTTGGTATTGGAGTGAACTGAGACCAGCTGGAACAGTAGCATGATGTATAACAGATGTTTCAATATCGACCGGATGAGATTCAGGGTCAGATTGAGACGACTAATGAATCTTATTACAGATTCGTTTTCTGGTGGCGATGACTTGCTGAGACGTCGAAGTCGATTAGTATTATCAGGTGTTAGCATTTGTTAACTGTTTCTTGATTACGAAAGTGTTTACCAATATACAGGTGTTGGATTGTTACATATTTATATTCAATTTCGTTGAGAAGACCTCATACATCCTCAACGATCAATTAACAAACCATTTCATATCCTCCTAGTGGTAAAAAGTGTCTTAGTTTACGGATTACATTTTCAAAAAATAACAACTTGGAGCAAAAGAAAACACGTCTTTTACCAGAACAAGCATGCGCAAAAAGGGTAAACATACCATGTTGAAATCAACATAGAAAAATAAAATTGTCGAAAATTCTACAAAACAACGACAATATGTAACAGATGATCCTTCAAGACACGCCATACAAAATATTATAAAACACATATATTTATTTTGAAATGAAAAAGAAGATAGATAAAAAGGAAGGGAAAAGAAAACTATTTCAGTATTGAACTAGTATACATTTCGTATGTGTTATATGATAAAAATTAAATTATAAAAAAGCAGTAATATCTTGAAGGTATCGTCAATATTCCACAGGCTTTATATACATTTTGAAGGGTTTTGGAAAAAGAGCAACCCCAGACCATTCTCGTTCCATAGGTAAATTGTTCTTGTCTTCAGGAACTAATTCAAATTTGTGTAGTATATTTGTGATCATCAGAAAAAGAGACATGTCTACCGTTGGTGCACCTACACATCGTCTTGGTCCTAGAAAAGATACGCATTACTTTAGGCGATAATTAGACATATAGGGTGTTAATACTCTGTTGGTTCTTGTAGTCTAAATTTTAATTTGAGACCTTATCTGGCGTTGCGTCAATTTTTTTTATTCTTGTAGTCTAAATCTTAATTAGATACCATGTTTGGTGATGATTATCACTCCTAAGCTCGTGTTTTGAAAACTATTACCAATAAAAGCATTTGAATAAATGGATCGTCATAATAGTAGTTTGGGGACATCAAGCACTTGGGGACATCATGCACTTGGGGACATCATGCACTTGGAGACATCTTGCACTTTAGAAGTGGTGATAAATTAGATGCAGCAATAATACAAAAAAAAAGAGTCATGAAGCCCAGTATTGCAACCAGAAGAGGCTAATTATCACTCTTACCTCTATAAAAAGAACATGAAATAATACATTTTTAGAGAAAGCTATGCTCATTTGACACATGAATTGATATTTAGTAAACCAAACGTATCTAATAACCCACCTTATTTTATAAAAAATACGACAAACTATAAAAACAAAACTTTTAAACGTCAAGATATTATTATATTTTCTCATTATAAAACCAGTTTGAACTGCAAATGAATATGAACAGTCGTCTGCAGAATTTTTATCACAGCTCATCAAATCTGAATTATCCAAAACATGTAAAATCGGAGGTGGAAAGGACTACAATTATTCTCTGAACATTTGGTCTTGAAATATTATTATAATTATCATTATTAGTTAGGAAGGACTTTTTTACCTGATTTTTGTTATTTTTGATTACTGGAAATAATTTTCGAAATTTTTTCAAGAATTTTCGTTCAACATAACAATGTAAGTAAGAAATAAACGCCTATAGACAAATAACTATACTGTAAATTGTATGTTTCACACTTACCCAGACCAAAAGGAAGGTATCCGTTCGTCTGAGGGTTTGTCCATCTGTCAGGATCAAATACGTTAGGATTGTCCCATAGTGTAGAGTCAACCTGTGGATCATTTAAATCATACAGTATGATAGATTTTGCTGGAATATTATACCCGTCGACTGTTATATTCCGTTTGATGGTTCTGTATATAGCAAGTACAACTAGAAAAGACAAAAAAGTCATATGACATCAATGATGCAAAGGATAACATTTTTTAAAGCTTGTATGTATATCAGATCAGCGCTTTAATTTTGTTTACAAATTATTAATGAATACCCTTTTACATTTTTTTTCTCGTAAAAAATTCAAAAAAAATATTTATGAAAAAGGTCAATATTTTAAGGAGAATGAAGACCGTGCTTCAAAAGTGTATCCTTCACGATGAAGGATAAACTTTTGAAGAACATCAACGTGTCGTATGTCATCAAAAAATAAACCTCTTTTATTTAAGCATCAAACAAGTTTATGGTTAGGGTTAATACACAGTAATATATTAAACAGAGGCATCAAACTTGTACAGAAAGCGGAGGAATTTACTGAAATAAAAAAATTTTGTTTCGAATTAAAATATATGATTGGTTATAAAATGCGTCAGTAATATCATCCCTGTACAATACGCTCTACGTCTTTTCAGACCGTTTGCGATGTTATTTCTTACAATTCTAAATGATGTAGTGGTGGGGAAAACATATAAGTACATACTTGCGTTTGTGTTTAACATCGGGAATTTTCTTCACTCTTTACGCTCTTTATTTGGTTTTGTGAAGTACAAAACTCCCTTATATGCATACCTGGTTTTGCAATACGCAGTACTTCTTTGATCGTTGATTCGACGTAACGCAGTTTATCCTTATCATCAAAGGTGACAGTCCCTTTTCCTTTGCATACCTTTAAACACAAGTTAACACATAATAAGATGCTGCAAACACATTAATGTACATCCATGGATATTTTATGTTTACGTTTAAGGAGTTGAGTATTCAATATTGATGCGCATAAGTTAAACTTAACATGGCATTGGTACCATGTATAGTATTTGAATGCCAAAAATATGTTAAATTCAGTGTTAAAATGATATTCTAAGGGTTTCAACAAACAATGACCATAATGAATAAAGACTGTACTAAAAGTAAAAGACTGTAGAAAAGTCTCTGCTGTAATTATAATTGTTCCAAATTACGATGTTAATTCTTCAGTCCGTTAGAATGGACACGCCTGAACTCTGGATTAAATGTTTTATTTCCTTCTTGTTCTTCTTAAAAAGAATCTATAATACAAAACCTCGGCAAGGGTGACATAATTTTAAAATTTAAAAAAAGTTGTTTAGTACAATAAAATGAACGATAGCAGTAAGCTTCAAGCTTGTCACCCCCAGTTATTTAAAATATGGACGTAAATTTTAAGCAAGGTTGAACATCAGTTGACCATACTATATGGAGTTTATGGTCATCCGAATAATCTGCTTTACTATATGTAGTTTATAGTCATCCGAATAATCTACTTCAAGTATTTACAACGAAATGTTTATTAGAATGAAATAGAATATATAGGAAAATCTCAACGAAGTTACCGGGGATGATATGCATAAAACAACTTAGGTCAAGATTTATTCCGAACGAACGGATTTTTCTACATGTCCTACGATAAATTAGAACTACGATTGGATATCTTAACTTAAGGGGTTTTATGCACATCAGCCCAGACTTATAGTTTTGTAAGACGGACGTGCGATTCGTCTAAAAAAAGACTCATCCGTGACGCACGAATAAAAAAAAAATTGCATAAAAGAGTTCTAAGAAATATCCTCCACGTGCACACGTATGACATTTACAATAAAAGGACACTAATGTTACAAAAACATATTGTATAGTGAAAATCTCATTGAAACATAAACATGGGTTTTTGTGAAAAAAAATACCCTCCTCTTCCTTCACAAATTAAAAACAAAGAAATAATTTATCTAACATATCTTTGCATATAAAACGCAAACTAAACAGAACATACAAAACCGTCTATAGCTAAGAGCAACGCGGCTGAGAAAGTCTCAACCAAAGTTTTAGTTATGAACTTTTATGAAATCTTATAACAGTAAAAACAGACAACAATATGTTACAAGTTTTAGCTTTCTAAAAAAAAAACTTTGGTGTGCTTCGCTGTATCATAATTCTAAGTAAGATGTGGTTTATGTGTTTGTTTTAAGTACGAGAAAGGTGTTAGTTATCCCTTTTGTACATATACATGTGCACTCATAAGTATGGTCTCATAAGCCCTTCTTAGATTGGTGTATTGTGGTATACTATAGTTCGTCTATGATTGAATACTTTCTACAAAAACTTACATTTGCGTTAACCAATACCACGAAACTAAAACGGAACATTAGGATTAATAGACGAAAACTTCCTTTTGATTTTAAAGTTCTTACACATGTGTCGACATTCCAGAGATACCGTTTGATTTTGAAAATTTATAATCTGTCATTCCACAGTTATGGTAATATTCTACATGGCATACTCTAGATCTAGAATGTTTGGATTAACTATATACTTCACGCTGTTGTTGGTATTGGCGAATCGAGACAATCTTTGGCTTTGAAAATTTTACAGTTTGTCGTTCCATAAAGTTACGGGACTTTTAACAGTCAATTTTGTCGCAATATTTATTTGCATAATTATATTTCATGCATGTTTTCTTGCACAACAATGATACTAAGTTGTTATTAGATGCATACATATTTCAAATAATCTCACAGTAATTATAATGCACAATTCGGGGGTATCATGTGGTCTTGACGTAGCTGTTTTTTTGTTTATCATTTTGTTTTATAACATCGAATACACGTATTTTGATAATCTTATTGAAGATTACTGGTAGTGATATACATTTTAAGTATTGGTGTGTATGCATATATAGTCAGATGAGCACTCAGAAACTTGTTTATCTTTGTCCCTCTTCTAATTTATCAACTCGAATTGACTCGGCATTATATAGCAAGGCAAACCAGTAAAGGCAAAATTATTAATTGATCGGGTATCAGATCATATCTTGAATACACATACTGATAAATATGTCCATATTTAATATCTTCTCCTGTCCGGGACATGTTCCCAATTCTACATCTCATTCTAGCCAATTGAATCTTTTTCACGTCAACAGGCAACCAACGAAAACCGATATTTGTTTTATATGATTTATACTAATAGCTTCGCACTGTGATGTGATGCGAAGCTATAAATTTCATGTGTTTAGCTTTTCTGAGTTTGCCTTCATCAGGAAGGCTCAAAGACGAATAATTGAAAGCCAATAATGTATGAGAACCAAAACAGTTGAAGAGCAATATGACCAACAAGTACCTATAAATAATATCAAATGTAAATATCATTTCATTATACTTGTTTTACCTTATGTATTTCTTCCCTGCACTTCTTTTGGACATCCGGGTATTTCAATAGATAATACACAATTATCATCATCGTGGCTGTGTAAGTGTCGTATGCAGCAATATACATGTCAATGATAGCTTGGAACAAATTAGTTTCTGAAATTGTTTGTAAATAAAAAAATAAGTTTTGAAATAAGCCCTCCTTGAAATTTTTGAAATTTTTAGTAAAATATGAAAAAACGATTGGACATAGTACGCTAAGCGGTTTCTAGTTTATATGACTTGATAAATTATGAATTTTCTCAATGGAGTTTTAGTTGTCATAACCAATACAAAGGACTTAACATTGGAGATGGGCTACATATGTAATTATTCAACTTGAACACCAGTTGTCATTCCTCGCTATAGTTGGGTTCGTGTGTCTTACTTTGTAGTTTTATGTCTACTGTGTTGTGTTATGATTTATCTTTTGGGGTAATTTTTGTACTTCAATGCCTTGCTGAATTTGATAACCGTTTGTATGCGATTACTTTCATTCAAAACCTTTCTACACCATGGGCGATTTAGAACGGGAGCTCGTCCATTATTTAACATACTGCGGATTTATTTATTTTCGTGGGTACCAGTTTACGTGGATTGAGGAAAACTTTTATGATTTCAATGATATTTTATCTCACGGTTTTTTCAAAGTAACCATGCAAGCCTCTGGAAAATTTGTAATTCGTTGAAAATTTGAGTTCGTGGTTTAACTTTATCCACGAAATCAACGAAAATTGATATCACACGAATAAGGAATCCAAAGTAGTGAATTTCAGATATTTGTTTTTCTTTTTCGTGAACTTTCGTCATTGAGATGCTGATTAAATGATGTTTTTAAACTCCGTTTTAGAAATAATCAAAGTACTGAAGTACTGAACATCTGATGACCGCAAGTTCTTGTGGATGGTCAAAAGCACTTGTCACAGAAAAAAATCACATCTCTATACCTGAAACTGAGGTTAATGTACAGAGTTATTTTTTTTCTGAGACAAGTTCGTGTGTGGATGATGAATAAATGACAGGAAATTCAACCTCACCGTAATAACTATCATATTGTAGTGATACAAATCAGTATACACTGGTTTGTTGTTATATATTTTATTAATATAACAGTTACATATATATATATATAATTTTCATCCATTTGTATATCATTCTATTAATATACTGTTCTAAAAATAGTGCAGTGCACGTGCATGGTGGACACTCTTCTGTAAAAATTCGATTTTTCTAAAAGATTGGATATGAGAAGCATTCATATTTTCCCGCAAAAACAATTACAGAGTTACCGGTCCTTGCCGGGATTGTCGCAAAACGTTATTGAGATATTCTTCCGCATGTTTAACACAATTTTTCGGTACGTGTGCATAGATATTATCAATGATTTTTTACTTATTTATATATATATATATATATATATATATATATCTAACGACAAAACATTTTCATATTATTAATTTATGTTCTAAACAAAAATATTTTTATCAGTATTTATTGAAGAGATGTATTTATAACAAACGATAAGGAATGTTAGTTTGCACTTGTTAATATCCGCGTATTTATCATGTTTATAGATCGGTTACAAACCCAAAACGAAAGTTACGTAATGGAAATCTAGGCGATAGCAATACATCGGAATGCCCTCACGGTCATCGCGATGTAAAAAGTAAGATTTACCTGATAAGGCACTGTCCTTCCTTTCTGATTCAGACAGATTCAAATAAGCAGCTAACAAATCATGTGGTAACTTATGATTATTTTCAATAGAATGATTCTTTAATTTCTGCTTTATATATGCATGTAACTTGTCTATTTCTCCAACTACTTCGTTTACCTGTAAAGAATCTTACACTCACAATATAAATCTAGCAGACATATAAATAATTCCGACTTTGAAATTATGAATATACGATATTAGTTTAGCATATTCCAATTGAAGACTGAGAGGTTATTAATTTTTCTTAAAAAAGTACAGAAATGTCGTTCATCTTTTTTAAAACTTAACTGGAACTTGACATAATAGATGAATGTGATTAACTGTCGTATTTAACAGTTCGAAACTAACTCATAACAAGATCGTTCTTGAAAAAAAGATGTTAAAAATCTTATGTAAGCATTTAGTTAAATATACCTGAGACTTTGAAAACAGAGCAAGCCAACTAAAGAAAGTTTCCATTCTACCTAAACTCTGTCCGTGTTTGAAGACATACGTGATACTGGAACGTAATGTTTTAAATTCCTGGTCATTATATTGAAGTCTACAAAGCACATAAAAACACATTAGTTTCTAGTTCAGATAGAATATAAGATTGTAAAAACATTTTGCATTTTCTGTCTTAAACAATGAAATCCTTTAAAAACAAACAATAGTACATACCATACTCATATATTTCAATGCAGAATTGAACGCTCCTTTTCGTAGTTTATTAGGATGTAAAAGCGTTGATCGAAGCATATTCATCATGTGTGCATGCATGTCAGCACTTGTACAACACGCTGCTGTACACTTACTGTAAGGAATACTATGTTACAGTAGTCTACAACGGCTCAGGTAATGACACCAATCTGCTTGACAATGTGCTCAGGTAATTTTATTTTAAGAAGAAAATTTGTTTAAACGTCAGAGTGACAATTTATCAGCATTTTCTATAATCAGTGGATACAAAATATTATAAAACAGTTATGTATCGTATTTTTGGTAGACATTTAAAATTGTCACCCAATGGTCGATTGCTTCCCTAAGGATAAATCTGTTGGGAAAAACAACAATCCTCATATTGACTATTCTAGATGTCTACCAAAAATACGGGCAGTTATAACTGTATAATGTCATTTTTCGATTTTCTGCCATTCTTTTCGCCGCATCAGTGCAGTATCTAAACACCTGAAGTGTTTGATTTGCTTATGTAGAAATTACTTATTTAAAACACCCAATTCTCAGTTTGTTGAATAACACGTGAAACATGTTTACTTTTTCTTATCTTTCACAATTTAAACAACATTGAGTTCGATGCAAACCAACTTCATTGGTTGTGCATCTTTGATTTTCCCTCGAAATACATTCATACTGCCGATCCAATTAGATTTTATCATGAGACATCATGAAACATGTTAAAATGTTACTGATATATGATCTTTAATAAAACTAAATGAAAAAGTAAACAATTATCCCGTTTTACATTTTAAAAGAGCTCTACCCTCTCATAAGACTAAATGTTCATATATTTGATATGTTGATAAAATAATTGACAATTCTCTTATCTGAAGAAATTGAATTTGAATAGATATCAATCATTCAGAAACATTTGTTGTAATGCAAGAAACTATTGTCTATTCCGTAAATGAGACAACCGGAGCAGCGACAAAAACTAAATTAATTTAAAAGAGAGGTGAACGGTACCAACGGAATAGTCAATCTCATAAGTCGAAAACAATCAGACAATGCCGTGGCTGAAAACGAAAAATGACAAAACAAAAACCCAAATAAACAACTTGTTACAGTACACAGAACACAACATAGTAAACTAAATACCGAGCAACAAGAACCCTAATAAAACCGGGGGTGATCTCAGGTGCAGCATAAACTATATATAAAGAATCGCCAAGTAGAAATGCATTATAATATAATACAATGGGTTCTGGCATCATTGACAACATTAAGTGTGCTATTATAAACATGTATTATCTCCCTTTTACTAGAAAAAATACCAACTTAAAAATAATTATCTAGGTACATTATGTGTTAAATCAGAAACATGCATGCCGATATCCATTTGAGATTAAACAAAAGAAATGGAACTCTTTATCAGAGAAGATAAAAATGGCCAAGTTGGTATGTTTGAATTGTTTACATCTGTTTCTAATTTTTAAGTTTAATGTAGGTGCTTAATTTATGATTTTTGTATCTAATATATATATGTTTATACTTAGATTATAGTATGGAGTTTCGAACTTTTTGTATACTTTTAAATTAAAGACAAATTTTCACAAAACATTCGATTGTGGTAGGTACAAATACATGTGCAGATCTGTGCACCTTGTTTATGTATAAGCATAAATTCCGCCGAAAACATTCCATAGAAAGATAAAAGATTGATCGTTTTAAAGCATTAATTTGAATCTCTGCCCTAGGCGACAGTTTTTTTTTTTTTTTTTGGGGGGGGGGGGGGGGGGGGGGTCCTAAAAATGGCCAATAATTTCATCAAAAAGAGAAAATCGAGTACACCTTTTTATGTTCATGCGTGTTTGGGTTGTTTTGTCTTGAAAACATATAAAACAACAATATTTGATACACTTTCTCGCTTCAGGTTCTATTATTTTTATATATTTAGGCTAAATCTTTATATAATAACATTAAAAGTTCACAGTACCAAAAAAAATAAAATATATGGGTCAAGCGAAATACCTGTCATAACAACAGAGTAGGTGTTGTGTTTGAATAACAAATTCTTAATACACACATGTACAAAATAAAAAAAAAAAAAAAAAAAAAACACTTGACGACAGACATAACAAGTGGGTCTTAAAAATGCATATCTTCAAAATATTCTCATTTTTTGTGTATTATCTATGGTAATTCGGCTTCAGCCTCTGAAAATTTTTAGTCTGCCCTTCCATGTAATATTTAATTAGAATTAACGTTTTTTGAACTTTCGAAAATTCATCCTGAAAACTGATCAAACAATAGTTTTAGGTTGACAAAAGGCATAAAAGTACATTACATTACGCTTAATATTAAGTAGATACATTATTCTTAAAAAAAAAACAACTGGCATGTAAGAATGGTAATAATGCTATGTGGATAAATTTATCGGTTTTCTAGAGCTAAATTGACAGCGCGTTCTCCCTACAGTGGCTTCGCGATTGACAAAAATAGGTGGCGTAATGGGGAGATAATTTTGACGAAGCAGAATCTGACTGATGTATCACATTCGAAATCCGCGGAGAAGATCTGATTCCCAAGGACCGTCGATTATACCGGGTGTGTGTATACCCGATACTCAAGTAAACAATAGGTTGTATCACACTCCTGACGTGTCTTTTATGAAATAAAAACTTTACCTCTTTCCGAACGCCATTATTGAGACAACATTAAGTGCACTGTTATAAAAATGTTCTAGAGGATCTGTGGCGTTACCAGGACTGAAGCATTTACAGAGTTCGTTGACTTCTTGCGTAAGCTGCTGTTGCATGTTCTGTTGGAAGGTTGTCGTCTGCTGTGATTGAATTATCAGTTTATTCAGTTCCTTCCACTGATGTCCATTAGCCCAAACAATGCCTAGTCCATACGCAGAAAATATCATAAGAAAACGAATAAAAATAATCATTTAACTTCTAAACATGGACTATGGGCTTCAACATACATCTTTTTTAATTTTTGCATATCACGTTTTCGTACAAATTTATTGACAACATTAAGAAGTAGATATCAATGTATGACATAATGTAAATGATAAGATTAGGCCATGTTCATGGTGTATAGATGAAGGCAAATGTTGGCGCAGAGTTGCTGCCCTAATTTTACACTTTAATATATAAGCTTTGCTATTGTTCTTATATGAGTGATAGGCCATAACAGTCTTTCAAAATAAAGAACCAGTGGACGATACATGGGCGCATTACATTTGTGCGCATTTGGGGATTAATATAGCGTAATATCCATGCAACCATCTCTCTATAATTATCTATTTGAAATCTGTATAATGAATAAATTCCCCCGTGTCTAAAGCAAAAATGTTGGGAAACATTTAGACATTTTATGTAGCTGACAACAAGGGACGACGCTCAAATGGTACACAAATTTATAGTCACAAAATTATTGTATTCCAGAGGCGGATTGGGGGGGGGGGGGGGGGGGGATACAGGGGCCCCGACCCCACTATAGAGCAACACATATGATAAATGCATAGACTTTGTGCAAGTATCACCCCAGACAATGGATTTCAAAATCCTGGATCCGCACCTGTAGTCTAAAAGAAAAAGTTGAACTCTGTATCTGAAGTCACAAGAATGAAGACTCATGAAATATATTTTGTTTATTGGAGTTTTGTTTTTAAATCAAGTTTTCACAAGATTTGAAATAGAGTAAACCAATTTGATTCCATTCATATTTCCTTTCCTTTGATGATTGAAGTTACAATACAAATATTTGTAATAGTAATGCCAAATATTCCAGAGCTTCGTCATTCTTTTAGTATTGAAATAGAAAGACCAAAGGTTGTGATATAAGCAATTATAGGTCAACATACCGCCTTCAACGATAAACAAAACCGATACCGTATAGTGAGTTATAAAAGGCCCCAGCTTTACAAAATGTGAAGCAATAGAAATGAAAATACCAACGACCTGTTTTTTACGTAAGACACAATGGCAGACGGCAACCAATGACAACCACTAAATTACAGGCTTCTGACTTTTTTTGCTCAAAATGAACAATATAAAAAAGTGAGAATTTACCAAACGGGCAATAAAAAAACACTAGACAGAAAAAAAATGAAAGAAATGAAAAGACGAAAAGACAGATAACAGTCATCAATCAACAAAACACTAAACTTAAAACTAGAGGTTGATCTGAACAACAAGAATCCTTACAAGCATAATTATTTTAGCAAAGAAATGCCAACGCTTAGAATTCTATATTATACTAATATATAGATAAAGTCCTTACAGATCTACCAATGTCTTAATAAAACCATAATATTGGACGTCTTTATCTAAATAAATCGTCTCCAAAAACGAAAAATCGGCAAGAGTTATGACTACTTCTAACTGAAGTTGCATTACCATTGCACAATTTAATATAAGAGGCTTGAAAATTTACAATATTGTCCAAAATTACAAACATAGATGAATGCAATGAAATAAAAAGTGTTCATTGAAGTGCTTATGAAATGTCTCTGGTCAATTCAGTCCATACGAATACTGGAAACAAAGCATATAGTCATCAACATATGTGGTCAGCACATAATCATCAAAAACTTCTACTTTCTTATCGTTTGGCATATCTTGCAACAATAGTCCCTTATTCCATAAATTATTATTTTTATACATGTAGTACCACATTTTATTTAAGAATATAATAAATATCAGTACAGGTAAATTGGCTCATATTAATTCCATAAATTGGCGCAATTGATACATGTACCTTTGAAATATAATATTTGGCGCAAATGATACATCTTGACTATAGCAATTGGCGCAAAAAGACTGTTTCCTATTGTATTACTTCTATGAATAAAAATAATGAATCACTCTATTAGAGATTATTGATTTATGTAAAAAGAAAAAAACCAAAACAACCTTTTTAAACTTTTAAATGAAAAAACGAAGTGATCTTATATTTTCCAAACCTTGTAATTTGGTTTCTTTTAAGGTGTGAAATAGTTCATGTTTTAAAAATAATAACATCATATTTTTATTTTAAATAATTGCACATGTGCACATGGAAATTGTGAACAAGCTCAAGTGATCTAGTATTTGGTGTATCAGTATCATTAATGCTTCAATTACGTCAATATGCATTTTAGTGAAGATGAGATAAATAATATTCACAATTAGTAACTAATTGACTGTATGCTTAAAAAC